AAGGCTATTTTATCAAAACTCAAAGATAACAAATAGTACCTTTTTTTAAAATAAGTATTATAGGGGTGCTAATTCCTTTTCACGTGTAATTGTACTTCCAAATCCAACTCAATTTTTAAAGACCAAAATTGTCTTTGTTGATAAGTTTTAAACTAGTTTTAGGATTTTATTAAAAAGATAAACTTTTTAGGTGATTAATTATATCTAATAAAAAAAGATTGATGAAAACTTCTTGTTTTGATTTTTATTTTAAAATTCATCTAAGTGTTCAAGTTCCAATACATGCACATTGTGACAATAATTGGTAAGTCGTTGATCCCACTATTTGTTATTTTTTTTACATTTCAAACTTTTCAATAATGATTTTTAACAAGTGCTATTTTTGTTATATTTTTTATACTAAATAAAAAGTGAAAAACAAAAATAGAACAAATAGTATAGTTATTATTACCACTTATATACCTACATTTTTAAATATTGATCTCTTAAACTTTTATATTAACACATTTTTTTCTCGAATCCAAAAGAAAGTAACGTGAATTATGCACATAGATATTAAGCCACAAATTTTTTTTTTTTGTAGGGATACCAGTAGCAAGCTTTGCTTAATCCAAAGAGATTTTTCAATTCAAGAATTTCTAAACTAATTATTTTTTAAATCCAAGGTAATTTCTTATTTATAGGCAACATAGATATCTTCTTGTGGACTGATTTTAATTGTTAGCATGTATTTTAATATAATATTTTAAATTTATTCATCGTATTAAATGTTAATTAATAATTTCACAAGTTGATAACATTTCACTAGCTAGGTGTCACGGGTCGAGACTTAAGCTCCGACCCACACTACTTCAAGACCCAAGCATCCACTCATCTGACGTCTCAGATCAGCCTACCTACCACGGTTCACATCCTTGTGAGGTATTGTTCGCTCTGACCTTCCCGGCCTCACGGTTTTATCCTATAAAAGGCGCCTCTCAAGGAAGAGATAGTGTGAACTCTTTTATACCCCAGTGACCCTCCTTTTATATTCGATATGGATTCAAGACTACTCCTTAGGTCTGTGACATTCTCCCCCACCCAATCTCATGACACCTTCGTCACGGAGGCTGGCCACCTTGCCTACCTCCCTCGAGGCTTTTGGCGTAGATCGAACGGTTTAGGGCTAGCTTTGATACCACTTGTCACAAGTCAAGACTTAAGCTTTGACTCACGCGGCTCCAGTACCTGGGTATCCACTCATCTGATGTCTCAAATCAGCCTTTTTATCACAGTTCACACCATTATGAGGTATTGTACACTCTGACCCTTCTGGCTTTACGATTTTATCTTACAAAAGATGTTTTACAAGGAAGAGATGGTGTGAATCTTTTTATGCCCCAGTGATCTTCCTTTTATGTTCGATGTGGAACTTAGGACTATTCCTTAGGTTCGTGACACTAGGCCACTATTTTATTAATTAATTAGCTTTAGCTTATAACTTTTGTGATGCATATATTAATTTTATTTATTTAAATAAATTTTTTTATTTAATTAATAGATTTTAGTTTTACATTTTATTATTAGTAATTCATTTAGAATAAAAATTTTATGTTTTTGAAAATAATAATATTGTTTTTCAAACAATATGAAAATAAAAGCAACAAAACATACAAAGAATTGTGTAAAAATTACTACTAAGGTACCTATCTCTTTTTTTAGTTTTTCAATCAACTTGAATTCATATAACAAAAAATATTATATTTTAACTTTGTAAACATATGAATTTTTTTCGTCAAACATGATATTTCAGTGCAAGTGGGAAAGTAATTGGTGTAGGGGTAAAATTATGTATCTCTGATTTTGGATGATAGTTTAATTAATTTGTATTTTATTTTACTTTTAAGCGTTATTCAGTTTATACCATTAAGCCAAGAAAAATGCATGTTTTTTAGACTTTCCACCATTTTTTGAACCAAACACATCATTTTCAAATTTAAAATTGAGAATTATATAAATTCAATAGATATTTTATGAAGAGAACCATTCATATTCACTTAAAGAAATTCAAAAAGTAAATAGGTAAAAAACTATTGAATGATGCCTTTTGAACGATATTTTGTTCATGATTATTTAAAATTTAATATCATTGTTTTTCCCCAAAATATTGTTGATTAATTATAACTTAAAATAATTTCACTTTAGTCTTTGTAACTTAAAATAATTTCACTTTAGCCTTTGTAGAAATACAATTTTATATTGAATGCTATATTAGAATTTTTCAATGTGTTATTATTAATTGGTGATTTTAATATTTAATAAAATAGATTGATAAATGTAGTACTAATACAAGACAAGTATGAGAGCCCAAATAATTTAATTATGATTACTTATATATGGGTTTTGCATATGTTATTAGGTCAATGTGATTTGGCAATTGTGTAGGTCATTGACCTAAGTGACATTTGATGGAGAGCTTTCTAAGATTTTAATAAAATTGGCTAAGATTCACTCTTCACTTCTAAGTATAGTATTTACCTTTTGAGAGCCGCTAGTAAAAGAATAGTAAAGAAGAAGACTTAATATTTGCAAATGATAACTATTACTTTCGCTTATCAATTATGATTGTCCAAATAAGTATGCAAATTAATTAATTAGTGTTCTAATATTCATATAATGATATTGAATTATATTAACATGCTAAGCTATATGCATAAGATTTTTGCCAGCTTTACCAATCCTTAAAATCAAGGTAAAAAAGCTCCAGCAAAACTTGCAAAAATAATATATACAGATGATCAAGTGATCACTTACATTATTTGAATATAGCAATTCACAGTTTCTCCTAAATACATATAACTTGTCCTCTTTTTTTTTTTTTTTATAACCATGTAACTTATGTTTATTTGATATAAAATTATAGGTGTAGTATAAATATGACTACATAAGATAAAGAGAGTTCAAATTGCAAAAGAATTAGTTTGAATAAATGAAAACTTTTTTTTTTTTTTATCATGATCTTTTTTATACAATATAAAATTTTGTTATGTTTTGTTAGTTTGATATTTATATTTAGGTATGCCTTTCTTCTAGCTTCATACCATACAATTCAAAATTTTGAATGCATACATGTGTGAAAATTAAAAATTTGTGTACACATATATTTAAATAAATAAAATTAATTTATAAATTGCATGAGTCACAAGTTAGTTCTTCATTTATAAATTAAATCTTTTTTTTTCAATTATCCATATTACATATTTAAGTCAATTGTTGGTGTGCCGATTATTATCTTATATTATAAATTAGTTTACGACTCATGCAAAATATGAATTAGTTTTATTTATTTAAATTTGTGTGTATAAAAATAAATTAGAATTCTTTTCAAAGTTATATCAAAATCTTCAAATTTATAACATGTGTAAAATTATTTATTTATGGTGACATATATTAAATTAAACATTTTTAAAAAATATAAAAATTTAAACATTTAATAAACAATATTTTGAGAAAAACAAAATGATAAAATAAATAAAAGTCTCCATGCAATTAAACTAAATTTCTTTAATTTGTACCATATTTATCTACAGTAATAATTACAATTATTAAATTTTTTTATTACTAACTTTTAGAAATTGCATTGAAATATGAATTCATTGAATGAGATTTGTAAAAGGAAGTGAAAGAAAAACAAGGATGAGAGAGAGGAGAAAATAGGGAAACTAAAAAAATAATATTTTATTTTTGTAATAGATTGAAACAATGTTATTTCAAAAAACAAGTCTGATGCAAATCATATGTCGATCTATGCATTGACTCTATCATAACTTGATTTATTTACATTAAAAGGTTTTTTTGCTTTTTATTTTAGTTTTATTTTACTTATTTTAGGTCAAATATTAAATTCAATGATTAATTGATGTATAAGAACTAAGTTTGAATACACGTTGAGGGAGAATGACTAATTACATCACTTAACCAAATTACAAGAACAAGCCATATAATTTGAGAAAAATTGAAGTGAAAAATATTGACATGGCAAAAAAATTTTGTCACATCATCATCTTTAATTATGTAGACTTGATATATCAACAAAATCAACGATTACGTAAGTAAAAATATCACATTAAAAAAATTAAAATACAATGCCATCAATTTTAACCAAAAAAAATAATTATTAATAATTTGATTAAATTTAATAATTTATTGAAGTATTATTCAATTTGAATACATTAAAATAAAAAAATTAATTTCTCTATTTAACTAAAGTACACTTATCAATTATATAATTTGACCATTTTTATATTTCATGTGAATTTTAATACATGTTAATATTAATATTAAGTGTAACAATACTCCATAAAAATAAAATGATTATCATAATATAATATTTATTTTTTTGAATGCTTTTCGGATTAGAAATTGGATTTTTTTTTTGGATGTAGTTGGTGAAGGGTATTTTGGCTTCGAGGTATTGGTTCTTTGTTTAAGTCAGTGAATAAGTTGGATGGATGGAGGAGCCGGCCTTTATTTTTTATTTATTTATTTTTTCTACTAACATTTTCATTTTCTTGATATATAACTATATATTCCAGTTTAAAATTCACCACTCTCTTAATTTAAACAAAGAAAATTAATAAGAATATTTTTTTTTGGCAAAAAATAAAAGAAGATAGAACATATTCTTTAAATCTTGGCACGCCAAGTCGCCAAGCACAATGAATCTGCAAACATTTTTTTTTTCAGGCATTCCAATATAAAATTCAAGACTAAATAATTGGTAATAATATTTTTCTTTGATTCTCAAATTTTTTAATCATCAGAATTTTCTTTTTCGACATCCTTTTATAAGGATATTATTAAAAATAGAGTTTTTTTATTCCCACTTGTTTCAATTATTGCAAATAAAATATTAATTTATTTTTGCACCAATTATATTTCATAAAAGATAAGTTAATGCAAATAAATAATAAATTACCACCCCTGGGACCTTCCTATAAATATCGGCATACAGCAAATAACTTACTCCAAACACTCTCCTTTAAATCAGCACCGTCCGTTTTTCCCATCACAATAGATAATGTTGCTCTTCATTCTCCTCGCTCCTTTCCTGCTCCTCCTCCTCTACTTCGTCGTCCAGCCCAAACCAGTCAGCGTTCCGATAAAAGACCGCCACGTGTTTATTACAGGCGGATCAAGTGGTATTGGGTTGGCTCTGGCCCACAAGGCAGTCTCCGAAGGGGCCCGTGTCTCTCTCTTAGCTCGTTCGCTCAACAAGCTCGAGGAGGCCCAAAAATCAATCCGCCTGGCATACGGCGTCGACGTCGCGATTTTCGCCGCAGATGTCCGCGATTACGAAGCCGTGCAACGCGCAGTCGAGGATGCTGGCTCAATTGACGTGCTGGTGGTTAACCAAGGAATTTTTGTGCCCCAAGCATTGGAGAAGCAGGAATTGGATGAGGTGAAGTTCATGATAGACGTGAATTTGATGGGAAGTTTTAATGTGATCAAAGCCGCTTTGCCGTTTATGAAGGATAGGAAAGATCGCCGACCCGCCTCTATTGCTCTTATGTCGTCGCAATCTGGTCAAGTAGGTGACTTTGCATTTGTATGCATTTTTGTTCTTTCCGTTTTTGCTTTTTAAAAATCAAATGCAAAATGGGTTATTTAACTAGTAAAGTAAATCATGTTTTAAACAAATTACAAATAGTCTTTTAAATTAAAGTTGGAAGTATTAAACATCCCATAACAGGCGGAAGATTCAACTTAAATATAAGCTAACAGAAAATTTAATAAAGTCAATTGATAATAGAATATGTAATCACAAAAAATTCAATATGTAACAAAAGTATGATGATATCATTTTAATAGATTCTCATCCCGTTTAGATTGGTAAAGAAGCTATAAACTTAGAAGGGTAACAGACAGGAATAATAAAACAAAACCTAAGTTTTAATATTATGTTAAACATCAATTTTAAAATTAATTGTCAACTTAAATATAAAATTATAAAAAAAATTAATATTTAGGAAACATGAGATAATATCACTTAAAAGAAAGCACTTTAATTCTTTTAGTTTGTCAATTAATTTGTGGATTATGGTAACATTGGTATATTGAACAATGAGTTATTATTGTAATTTTTTGCATTAACTTTTGTGTATTCTTTTGCTTATGTTTGTTTATCAGTTCTGCTGTCACTAATTGATTTTTTGTAACGAGCAATGTCACAAAATAGGTAGGTGTTTATGGTTACTCGGCTTATTCAGCTAGTAAGTTTGGCCTCCGAGGATTAGCAGAATCATTGCAACAGGAGGTCATTTCGGATAACATTCATGTCACTGTCATATACCCTCCAGACACCGAAACTCCCGGTCTAGAGGAAGGTATGGGATTTTTATTTTATTATCTATAATTGTATTTTTTTTTCAAATTTAATAATTTTAAAACTGATATAATGATATGACATACTTGAAATTGATATTGAAAGCAGAACAGATACAATAAGCATTTGCAACTTGTCATGTTTATTTTTTTTTTAAAGTGAATTCTTTTATAAGTCTATAGCTGATCAAGCAATTGCATTCAATTACTAAAAGCTTACAATTGCAGAAAAAAAGATTAGACCAGAGCTCACCAACATCTTAGCAGGCTCTGGTGCCGTACTGAAAGCTGAAGAAGTAGCCGGGAAAACTTTGGATGGTATCAAGTCTGGAACTTTTAGCGTCACCTTCAACATTGAAGGGTACCTATTAGCCTTCGCTACTGCCGGAGCGTCCCCCCAGAGATCTTTCTTGATGGCATTCCTTGAGGTGGTTCTTGCTGGTATATCACGTCTTGCAGCCTTGTTTTTCCTATGGAGCTTCTACAGGACCATTAAAAAGTGGCATGTAAAACCAAATTAAGAAATAAGGTAAGTATAATGCTATACATTGTAGAAACATTAGTAGTGGCAATTTGATCTTTTCTTTTGGAGAGCTTGCTTGTTCTGTTGAATGCTATTCTATGCATGATTACTCGTCTTCTTGTGTCAAAGCTAGATTTGACAATTTGGGTATATTATCATGTTTGGTCATATCAAACGTGCCTAAAATACAAACAATGATGTTAAATTCATATCAAACACAATATATATATATATATATTTGTCAAATTTATATAATTTTGTTAAAATTTTAAATTTTAACATTTTTTTTTACCATTTTCGTGTTGTATTATCTTATCTTAACATTATCGGTCTAATCAAAACTTTCAGAAATAAGTCTTTTTTTATGCTATGCTAAAGAATTTTTTTTTTATTTAATTGATTTCAGGGGCTAGAGTTCCTTCTTTGTTGCTTGATATGGATCAGCATTCCTTATTCTGCCTGCTTTCCGTTGCGCACGGATGTTGACTTGAAATGAATGGTTTGATAGCTTTAGAATAATGAGTTTGTTACCCATGTTGAAATGTAGCACAAATTCTGAAAATGGTAAAACTAAGAGCTCCATCCCTTTATGTAAGAGCCTGCATAAGAAAATTGGAGTTTGTACAAATGTGATCATAATTAAAAAAAAAAAAAATCTTCTTTATTTCCTTTAATTGCCGAGTATTAGTTGATAACTCTGATTAGCATAATTTGTCTATAACGTGTTGACAAGTTGATTCTAGCAACAGCCTCAGCTTTATAGTCTCAATCAGATAGGTTGCTACAACAACTATAAATTGAGGAGGCTTTCAGATTTTCTAATCTTTTCCTTCTGATTTAAAAGTAGACATGCCAATTTAAAATATAACATAGGGACATAGCACCAAAATGATAATATATATATATATATAATATTATTTAAAATTTTAGTGAAACTTATTTATTTGTTTAACAAAAAATAAAAAAAAATGTTTTCATGTTTTTAATGTCAACATAAATTAAAATATGTAATTTTAATGTAAAACATGACATAAATATACTAATTATTAATATTTTGTGACATAAATATGCCACTTGATCTATTTAAAAGAGAAATGCAGAAAAAACTACTTGATCTATTTAAAAGAGAAATGCAGGAAAAACTAGATTGGAGAATTGGAACCAAACAGAGTTCGGCATTGTAGAATTGTCTGGGCTTGTACCGAATCTCCCACTGATTTTTGGCATTTAAGAGAGCTGAAAGGCAGGTAAAAAAAAATGGTTTCTGGTTAACATATACACGATTGCTGCAAAGGATGCAAGAAAATTTCTGGCCTCTGAAATGAACGAAGTCTGTTTTAAGTTGTCATCCAGGCCATGATGGAATGGTTATAACGGATAACTGATATTGGAACAACATTAATTTATGTCAGTTTCACTTTTTCTGTCTGTGACTCGAAAATTTTAAGTATTTGTTGGTTTCAAATTAGATAGGGTAATATTAAATACAATATAAAAAATATAAAAATAATATTATTTAAAATTTTAATAAAATTACATATAATTTTATAAAAATTAAATATTTATTTTTTATTTAATGTGTATATAAAAATTATAATATGATAATTTTTATTTTTTATATTTATTAAATATAAAAAATACAAATACAGAAATTATTAAATTTATTTAAAATTTTCGATTATTATTAAATCAGCCTAGTTAGTACATCTTTTTCGGCCACCGTCTAGGACATGTATTGTATCATAAGCAATAGCTCGTGTGTCAACTGATTCGTTTGATCTAATCTGCAATTTTAGCTTCCATCATCATAGATGCGGTTCCAGTGAAAATGACAAGGTTATGTGCCAACTTCCATTCAAGTAGTGTGCATCTATGAAATACTATAATTCTCTTTTGACTTTAAAATTTTCAACTACCTTCTATAGTGACAGGGGAGCTACCAAAAATTGTCGTATTTAATTTATAACTAGAAATAGGCCTATGTGATTATTTTTTTACTTTTAAGTTATATTTTAAATATGAGAGAAATAATTTTTAATATCAAATTTTAATGATTAATAATATATAAACAAATATAAATATATTTTTTAAAAATAAATAATAAAAATATTTAATAAATATAAATATAAATATAAATTAAAGGCAAATATAAGTACACATCTTTTTTAACCTTTGACCTCACCAAAACACCTTTCATTTCACCACCATGGTTTTTTTTTTTTTATTTCTTGAGAGAGTTGTGAGAGAATGAGAGAATTTAGAAAGGGATATGAGAAAAAAAATGAGAGTGGCATATAGAGAAAAAATGATAAAAAAAAAAGGCATGTGAAAATGTAAAAGAAAAAACATTTGGTAAGATGAAAAGAAATGAAAGAAAAGAAGAAAATAAAATTAAAAAAATAATAAAAGAAGAAGGTATACAAGATACCTACAACCATTATATCATTTTACTAAAAAATAAAATAAATTAAAAATTTTTAAAAGAAAAATTGAAAAGGAATAAAAAAGTAAAAAATTAAAAAATAAGAAAGAAAAGAATAAAATAAAAAGAAAAAGAAAAAATGTTTGGGACACATACTACAATCACATCATTTTATTAAAAAAATAAAAAAATTCAATTTTTTTAAAAAATTGAAAAGATAAAAAAAAAGTTAATTAAAAAAAATAGTTGAGCCTAAAATCTGAAATATTAATTATATGGATGATGATTTATTTTTTTATATAAATTATAATTTAATTATATAAATATAGTTTTTATTAAATTAAAATATTAAATAATATTTTTATTAATATAATATTTATAAATATAATAAATAATAAAATATATTCTTTTATATCTCAAAAAAAAAAACTTAGGGCAGAGTATCTCAAGCTTATTCAGATTTGATGTAAATTTTTTAAAGGGGTAAAACTTGACCTAATTCTTGTTTTTTAAAAAAACGTGCTGACTGAATATTAGCTAATATAGGCTAATTTGTTAGCTGTATGTCCATTGACTTTTAGATACAAAATTTATTTAATAAAAAAATTTTAAAAACAAAGAAAATGATAAAAAAAATCAAATGAGTGGCACATGAATGTATTGAATTAAAATATTAAATAATAAAATTTTAAATAAATTATATATAAATATAAAAGTAAATAAATAAATAATTTTTTTATATATACAAAGACTAAGACATAATACCTAAAATCTTATTCTTTTTCGAGTTCAATTAAAAATAAATTCAATCAAATTATTTTGAATTAAAAAAGTGCACCGATTGGATCATACAAATTGAAATTTATAAGATATAAATTATTTTATTATTTTTATTTTAATTGATTTTTTATTATAAAATTATATAAAAAAAGTAAAAATAAAATAATTTAAAAAAATCCAAAAAGTAAAAAATTTTAAAAAGGAAATAAATAAAAAAACAAAAGTAAAGAAATGTCACGAGAACATTCGAGATGAAGTAAAACATTTTAAATCCGTTTTTAACTTAACTCAATCTTAAAAAAAATTGGACTTAATCTCAAGATTTTTTTAAAAAATATTTATATTATATTGGTCTGAATAAAAATAATTGGATATGAATTATTATCTGATCCTTACTTTTAGTATTTCTTTTATAAAAATTATCTAATGAAAAATAAAATAAATAATAAAAAGTAAAACATGAAAAAAATAAATTTATTAAAAAACAAAATAAAAAATAAAAATAATTTTAAAAAATAAAATGCCACATGAATACCTTTTGTGCCCTTTATATTTTACAAAATTAATATTACAAATAGATGAATGATTCGGTTATGGCAATTTCTGGCCCGAGATTGTGCTGTCGTCAAAATTATTACATAAATCCTTTGTACTATTAATTTATAGCAGATGTTTTTGTATTGTTTTAGTGTGATTTGGATTATTAATAAATAATTAATTTAATCGGTTAAATTCATCTTACTCGATAAAAAAGTTTGAGATTTGAGTATTATTGGTGATTATTTGTTTGAGTCATCTCAAATGCACAACTTACAATTATTTATCTTAAATTATTAAATACGAGATATTTTATCTTGATTTTGGGATCGAATAATTTATCTATTTTTGAATTTTTTCTTAAAAAAATGGTGTGATTTGGATTGATTTGAAAGATAATTATTTATATGCGTTTGAAAAGAAAATTTAAAATTTAAAATTTGATTGATTGATAAATGAAGACACGTACACAATTATTAATGAATTTTTTAAAATAATACTTCATAATATTTTTGTTAATTTTTATCCGAACTCAAAAAAAAAAAGTCCAATTCATTGGAACTTCATCCAATTTAATTTGATCATAAAAATCAACAATTCAATCTCACTCAACCCAAAATTAAAAATAATTTGAGCTCAAATCAATCTAAGATCAAAATAACTTGAAATTAAATTAAATATAATTTTATTTTAAAATATTAATCTAATATTAAAAAATAATAAAAACAACACAAATAAAATTAAAAATATAAATACAAATGATAGTTTATTAAAATATTAAAAATATCAAATTAATATATATTTTTAATATCAAACTAATATAAATTCTATTATCATATTACTTATAAAAATTTTTTATAATTTAAAATAAATTATATAATTTTAATTATCATAAGTATAAATATCAATGTATCATTTAAAATAAATTATACAAAATTTTATATTTATATATGGGTATTAATTTTATTATTATTTAAAATAAAATATATAAAATAAATCATTGATTTGTGAATATACTTTATGTTAATGTTATAATTATATTATTAATTTTAATAATTTAAAATAAATTAATAATAAACTATAATTATGCTAAAATTCAAAATAATAAATTATTAAATAATGAATTATAATTACACTATATTGATTAGTTATATTGCGGTTATATTATTAATATAAAATATAATTACGCATTAAATATGTATCATAAATAAATATTTAAAATAATTTTTATATAATTATATTAAATATATAATTTTGTATTATAATTAAAATTTTAAAATAATTTATATATTCATATTAAATTAAAAAATATAAAAAACTATTAACCATGATAACATGTTTTTTGTGTTTAATACGTGTATTTATATGTTATAATTTAATAAATTATAATTTTTTATGTTTTACATATATTAAAATATATATCAATATATCTAAATACCGAAACATATATTTTTAAAATTAATACTATTTTTAATATTTTTTTAATATCATATCTTCTTTTCTATACGCTATGTCTTGAGACTCCGGAGAGAATTGCAATCCATGAAGAACGGCTGCCTAATTAAATCCAGATCTTCATTTTCCTTACCATATCTTGTTTGATACAAATGTTGATACGGAATTTGAACCCTTCAAATATATGAAAAGATTTGAAAAAAAAAAAAAAAAGTGACCATGCGAGACGCATATCCAAATCAAACACTCGCTCGTCTCCCAATAAAATAGGCTGGTCAAACTGGTTAGCTGTCTACCTCAACTTTCAAAAATCTTAAAAATATACTTTAAATTACCAACGATAAATAAATGAAATTAAAACCTCTCGACATGGCTTTAGCTTGCAGAATTAATTGAGTCTCCTAATTCAGCAATGGAGCAAACTTGAACTTACTTTTAAATCACACTTTTCAATTATGGTGCTCTTCATTCTTGTCGTTC